GAAATGGGAAAAGGAAGAAGACCAAAACCTCCTATAGCTCTCATACAACTGCCATAGATTAAAAAAAAAAATCATTCTGGGCACCAGCATAGAAATGACCCTGCAAAAATGCTGTGGCCATTAGTAAAAATAAAACTGAGTATTTACTCACAGTGCAACTAACAGATTGAAGTCACTGCCTTTTCTAATTATAAACATTCCACTCCTTTATTAGGATTGCAATCATTAAAAAGTCAGTATTAACCATACTCGGTGCCTCCTAGTATCTGAGGCCCTGTGGTGGGTGGACAGTCTGGAGTGCAGAGGAAGTTTACATGTCTTAGGAATTGTCTTGGTCGTTGTCAGTTTTGTTGATGCTAACCAACATTTCTTTATAATGAACCACAGATTTTGGAGGAAAGTTTATTACCTCATTTCTTTTGTCTTGTACCGATTTTTTTAAATTGCCTTTCTAAAGATAATTGAAATGTGTGTTTTCTGCTGTAGTTAGCAAGTACTTTTCTGCTATGCACTTGTCATCAGTGCTTAATCCTGCTTTAACTGATACTTGCTCCTTGGCAATTATTTTAGACTATATTAAACACCTTTCTGTTCAAGCCAGCAGAAATTCTGTGGTAAGCAAGTGTGTCTCCACTGATACTTCTTTATAACATTAATCATTCCCTTTTTCTGTAATAATTTCAATTTTGTCTTTTTATTTCTGAAACACTGAGGTCTTTTGTATTTGCTGAGTTTTTTCCCCCTTTTTTTTTTTTCGCCCCTGGCTCTTGATGGAACTTGTGGTAGGGGCAAAGTTTGTGGCTTGTGTGTCCAAGCCAGAAGAGGTCAGGAAGGTGATAGTGTGAGTATCTCAAGGTATAAGGCTATTAATGGAAATGCTAGAGGAAATTACATTGGAGAGACCTCAGTTCTGATGTCATATCAAGCCCTAAGGATGTTCAAGAACTGATTCTATTCAGAGAGAAAAGTAATAACCAGAAACTTAAAAGTAACCTAGATAACCTTCCTACTAAACTAACAGAGTGCTAAACCTGAATAATACAAACAAGAATATTATATTTATCAGATTTTGTGTCCTGCACAAGGAATTTCTCTTCTTTCCCCATCTATTTTTAAATAAAGCTAAGCAGTATCTGGAATATTTCTTCACCCAAAGGTGAAGAAGTTTTTCTGGTGATCTAAAATGAAGAGTGGCATTTAGAGGTAGATCCTTCAGCAGTATGGGACTGCTACTGAATTTCATGGGTAAGAGATTTTTCTCATTAGAGAAAGATAAGCAAAGAAGCCATCAAATTTATAAAGGAAAAATTTTCACATTTTTGTCAAATGCAGAAAGACCGCCACTACATTTTGGAGCTGTTCATTTACCCCTCATTTACAGCTATACAATATCTATGTGAGCTCAGGGCATTACAGTAAAACGTCTCTCTCACATTTGTATTCTAAATGCCTTAAAGTACTAAGATATTTTGGTTTAATAACTTATCGAGGAGTTATATAAACTTTTTTCTCTTCTGCCTCTCTGAATAGATTTGAGGGTGTATTCCCAGGGGCCTGAAATCTTTCAATTCTTCATTTGTGTGGCTTGATACAGCAACAGCAAGATCAGTCTTGATGCTACGAAGCTTTCTTGACATACAATATTTAAAAATTTACCAAATCAACTAGATAAACCAACAATTAAAACAGATTTTAAAATGCTCTGGTGCTTTAGACAAAATGATCCATTTTGTGAAGTATTTTATAAAGTTCATGTGAAGTTTGGGATACAAAACATGAGGACCATATAACAATAATATAGCAGAAAGTAATAATGCAAACAGTCATGGCAAGAGCGACATTAAACATTGTGTCTTTTGCTGGTTTTATTAGTATAGTCCCCAGAGTGTTGTCAAGATTGTTTTGAAATGCGTTACACCAAAGAATCCAAGACATTAAGGTTTTTTTCCTTGACTATAGGACAATACATTCTGGCTGTGACTGCTCATTGCTCTGAGTGATGCTTTTTTACAATGTTTATAAACACAATAGCATATGAATATTCTTAGCACTTAATCTTGTAACTTTATGGAAAAACTCGCAAACTGATCACGATGGTAAAATGATCATTATGGTCTGAAATATCAGAATTTTCACGCAACTATTAAGATAAAAATAGCCTTCGTTTAGCAACCAAATCTCTTTACAAGTTATAGAAACTACAATCCTGTTGAATACTGTGAAAAAGCTAAGATTTTGCATGCTTTGATTTACACTGCTTTGAGTAAGCTTTGATCTTGTCAGAGGTGCTTAGTTACATGGAATGGTCTTTCATCAGTTGTGAAAATGCTGACTTTTTGGAGGGTTTTTAGAACCACAGACTAATTAGGAACCTGTGACTTGTCCTGTGACCAGTTATGATCAAGAGATTACACCCTCAAAGCCTGTCATAAAGTCTATGTTTTTCTCATGCGTCTCAACAGGCACCAGGTCAGTCTTCCCAGTAGTTTCCACTTCCCACTCACATACATACGTATATTTTTGTGATCTTGTATATTTACCAATAGAGTCTTGAACAATTCTAAGAGTCAAAGTAACCTTTGGTCTTAGGCACAGGAAGTATGCTTCACTATTTTGTCACTGTGAGAGTGGTGAGGCACTGGAACAGGTTGCCCAGAGAAGCTGTGGAGGCCTCATCCCTGGAAGTGTTCAAGGCCAGGTTGGATGGGGCTTTGGGCAACCTGGTCTAGTGGAGGGTGTCCCTGCCCATGGCAGGGGGTTGGAACTGGATGATCTTTGAGGTCTCATCCAACCCAAACTGTTCTATGAGTCTGTGGTTCTATGTTTGGCACAAGACTGAATGCCCAATAAAAAAGAGACTTTTCCCACGGCTATCATAAAAGATTTAATTTTCATAATAAATTGCTTCTTTGGGATTTCAGCTAGACTTACTGCTGTCAGCAGCATACTACTGAACAACACTGTCACCCCAGAGAGATTTGTACGCACCCTCCAGTGAGCACGTGAGCACCTACGTCTTGGGCAGGATCCAAGGGATGATTTTTGAGAGCCTTTGACATTTAATACAGCAGCTAACAGGTGGTTACATATCTTCTGAAGGCGTGAGCTTTAATTTGTTCGGTAACAGGAAGGAAATGGAAAACACTGTCTTTTGTTGCTCAGATCTTAGCTGTATGTAACGATGGCTAAGTATTGTTTTTTTCTTGCAGCATTTGTATGTGCAATGTTTTGCGAAGTGCAATGTGCAAAAAGGGAGGAAAAAAGTCTTGGGTATTTTAGCTTAAAAGAATGCTCTTGATTGAAATTTCCCATTTTCTCTCTTTTTCACAAAGGAGAGAAAATGCAGCTGTTTGGAAAGTAGTGTTTGGGATTAGCAACCTTGATCATCCATCAGGCTTCATGCAGACCCGACTAGTGAAGACCATTATCCTCCATCCACGCTACAACAGAGCTGTCGTAGACTATGATATCAGCATTGTGGAACTAGATGGGGATATCAACGAGACAAGCTATGTAAGACCTGTCTGTCTGCCCAGCAAGGACCAGTTGGTTCAGCCAGACACCTACTGCTACATCACGGGCTGGGGACACATGGGCAACAAAAGTAAGATAAGTTTTTCTGGGACTCTTGGAAAAACATGTTCACCTTAGAATGAGTTAATCAAATAAGTGATCCTATTACAAAGCTTTATCCATTTATACTGTTACTGAACCTTATTAAATACCAGGGAACTGTAACTACTCATGAAAGGATCTAGCTAGTGTGACTAGAGCCTAGCTTTTCCAAATCAGCAGCCTCAATTTATGCTCCTTAATCCTTATTTAGACAAGTGGCTTGATTTGCAAAAATGCTGAGGATCTAGAAACTCCTGTCAAGTAATCTGAATTAGTTATCATTGTACTGGTTCAGGTTGTACTCAGAACTGTATGGAGAAGGTATCAGATCATGAGGGCGGGGAGCAGGAGGGAGCAGGCAACATTCTTAGTTCAGTGAAAGCGGAAGGCACCGAAAGCATCTGCATACAGGCTGAATGAACATTTTCTTGAATCAACGCTCTGTGTCACACTTGGGACTTGTGACATGATTTATTTCATCCAGGCATAATCACAAGTGCTGTTCTTGTCTCTCTGAACAGAACATCAATGTGTTTTCTTGTTCTGTGGCCACTGCGATCCTTGGGTCCCATGACAAGAACAGTTGTGTTATGTAAATCTGTTTATAGACAAAATGATTCTGCATGCAGCATATGCAAATTATCCTGGCCCCAACCCTGTTAACATTCCAGCCACTGTGTAAATTATAATAATTACTAGGGAAGGCTGTCATTCTGTACACTGGAGAAGGAAATTTTCCTTTCAGTATTGCTTCAGGTGGGATTTCACCTCTACTGGCCAGGTCAGACACGTGGCAAAAATTAAATGGCACATGTGAGGGAGAGACTGTTTACTAGCGGCTCTACCTGTCCAAAAATATCTTTTATGTAATGGCAGGGAAAACCCCACAGAATGCTTTTGCACCATTGGTAAGTGGAAAAAGGTTCTTTCTTTGTTCTCTAATGTGGTTTCAGTGTTGGTTTTAAAGGTTTTATGTTATGAAGCATCAAAAAACCATCATGGCTACACAGCATTTAGTACTTCATGCCCTAGGTTGAACAACTTTCCTTAGAATTTGGGCTCAGTCAGCCATTCAGACTAGGAAGAAGTCCTTTATTGTCTCCTGAATGCACTAAAATAACTTCAATACCCTTTGAATTCTGATTCCCTGATACATTCTCTAAGTCAAATTTACCTAACCATACCTCAGAATAGCTGTGATTATACCAAGCTTTACCATGAGAGACACAGAGAACAGGGAGATCCTGCCATGGAACGAGTCGTCAAACCTCTCCTCCACCTCCCGCACATTCCTGTTTTCCAGCTGGTACTGCCCCTATCTTAAAAGTGCCACTCCACGTCATGGAAAGGTGAGCTCCCTCCTTGGTCTGTCAGTGTGGGTGCCCCATAAATGGCGAGCGTCACGCCAGTCTCCACGTGCTTGGTCCTTCTCCAGAATGTAACACATATGCTCCTGCCTCAGGAGCATGACAGTCACAGATCTGGCCATGCAGCAGTGCAAAAAACCACCTTAGCTTTGTGTGAAAGGGAGGTTCCTCTCTCCTTACATTTAATATATATAAAAAGTAATATTTATAATCTATCCTAACAGAAATATTTATCATATGTTGAAGACCCATCATTGCAAAGTATTTGTGTGTGTGTGTGTCCAGTTTAATTCTTAATTTTGTTTTTCAGTGCCTTTCAAGCTTCAGGAAGGAGAGGTTCGCATCATTTCCTTAGCACAATGCCAGTCATACTTTGACATGAAAACCATCACCAGCAGGATGCTGTGCGCTGGCTACGAGTCTGGCACTGTGGACTCTTGCATGGTAGGTCTCTCTGTCTCAGGAGAAACTCTCAGCCAGACCTGCTTTTAGAAATCAAAAAGTACCATGACGGTTATTAGCTATAGCATACTTCATCTACTATAGGAATGACAAGTTATTTACATATTTTAACCCAACTTTTATTATTATTATTGGCATAATCAACTTCAGTTTATGATCATGAAATGCTGCTTGAAGTCTCTATGCTTTATCTATATTAGTTAACTATTAGACGGTGGTTTTTTTTTTTTTAATTTGTATGACCCTTTGCAGGTAATTTTTTGTGCAAATATTACAGGGAATAAGTACTGGTAACACTGTGTGCTGCTACATAGTTCAGCAGAGCGGCCAGTTTTTACAGCTGAGTTACTTATTAAAGGCAAATTGCTGTAGGATCCAAGACACAGCTTTAACCATGTGACTGCCAGCCACGCATAGCCCCTATAGACTGGTTTTTTCATTTACGTTGCAGGGTGACAGCGGAGGACCACTTGTGTGTGAGCAACCTGCAGGGCGCTGGACTTTGTTTGGTTTGACATCTTGGGGCTCTGTCTGCTTTTCCAAGGTTTTGGGACCTGGAGTTTACAGTAATGTGTCACATTTTATTGAGTGGATTGAAAGACAAATATACATCCACACCTTTCTGCTAAACTAACTCCAGATGGTAAGAGTTGTGCTGACAGACATAAGAAAAAAGGGATCAGCACTTCAACACTGAAGATTTTGCAGTCCAGAAACTCTATGAAAGGGAGGTTCAAGCTCTATCTAGTCTTGTTGTGGAGCTATGGAATATGCAGTGTATGTTAATGGTAAACTTCCGCTGGTGAATATTCTTTGGGGTAGAATTAATAATCCTTTTGACTTTTCTTTTAACTGTGTTGTGGTGCTTTTCCAAACACAGCAGAAGGCTTAAAAGAAAAGAATCAGCCACTTTCTGCCTTTCAGCTATTCAAACTAAGCAGTAGCACAGACTAGAAAAACCTTTTTAGAGAACCTATTTTAATACTATTCAACTAGTAGCACATACATTTTCACTAACTTCTTGTCATGAGGAGTGAGCTCAGTGCATTCAGATGGTACCAACAGGACATATATTCACAAGGGCAATCCCAGGCATGGCCGCAGCTCAGGCCGTGGGAGAGATCCACGAGTTTGTATCTCCATGGGGCACAGGGCACATCAAAGTACACGTGCAGGTCTCCAAAGGTGTGTAGCCGTGCTGCTGGTGTGCCTGAGCTGTAGCGCCTTCTGTCCCTTAGGGCGGGTAACTCACACGAGCATAACCCTGTACCGTCCTGACTCTGCCATCTCTGCAGTGCAACAGCAGGACCAGCAGACCCCTAACCACCACCTGAGGCACCTGCGGCCAAAACTGAGGTGCTCAGGCTCTTCGGATGGTTTCTGCCACTTAATTTTCTGAAGCTTCCCATGTCTTAACGTGTCTGGGAAACAGCCATGCCTTGACTGCACTACACCGATTCGCACATTTATCAAAACTATGCCCTGCTGGCTTTTTTCCCCATTTCGTATAGTGTGTTCAGCCTATAAAGTGTGCGGTGAACATCTCCAGCCCTCCAAAAACACAACTGGGTTGGCAATGCCACTGCAATGACTTCTCCCCCTAGAACTGGCTAGTTTGAACATCTGGTGATTTTAAAAAAAAAAAAAAAAAAAACCCGCAGATTTAAAGTGCAAAAGAGGCAGTGTGAGCAGTATCCCCAATACTGGGAAACTGGGTATTTTTGGATAGGTGTTTTCTAGTGTCGTGCATTGAAAGTTTCATTTTGCTTAGCAAGATTAAATAATTGGGAAAAAGGCAGAAAGAGATCTGAATAATAGAAGACTGGGATTCCAGCTTCTGTTCAAATGAATATTAGAAATATGTTAAGCAAAGTCCAGCAGCTTCATCCCCAAAGGCTCCAAGAGCTGTGCTCAAGTGCTTGGTGGCAGATGGCAGAGTGGTCTGTGTAGTAGCTAAGAAGAGGCTAAGCCTTGACTCCAGGAATGTCTGGTTAAAAAAAATTATACTGGAGCTTGGCACCTCCATGGTGCTAGCAGGGAGGTGTGTCTTACCAACTGCTGTAGGGATGTCCTGCGCAGCTCACAGCTTTTGGGAGGCCAGAGTAGGAGTCAGGAACCTGAGATTACAGGATGAATTTCACTGGGGAGCAACGTGTTTACAACTTGCCTGTTTTCAGTGCTGTGCCTGCCCCCCATGAATCCAGCCTAAGGCATATAATTACCTTCTCTGCTACCTCTGGCATGCCCCCATTGCAACATGGCAGGGCCTTGTCCATACCATGACTGCCGTACGTGGAAACAAGCATTAAAAGAGCTAACTAATGGACATTTCAGGTACTATTACTCATCTTACAATTAATCTACATAGATCTGACTATTGCTTTAGTGAGGTTTTACCCCTTATTTCTGTATCATCTTCTCCTTTAACATGCCTAACATTAGACATAATAGACAGTGCTCTAGACAGCATTACTAATAAATATTCAGTATTTATGTTATGGATTCTGGAACCCTATTTAAGTGACTATTGTACCACTGTTTCATGCTCAGAAAGAAAACCCTTCTACCCTTTGCTAGGTTTGGGTTTGATGTTTTTTTATATATTAAGGATTTGTTTTTACTATAACATATAAATGCTCTTCTTCCCCCCAGCTATAAATAAAGAGAAAGCAGCTGTGACCATGTTTTTCCAGTGCAAGTAGATCACAGATGAAGCAGGTTACTGATGCCCTTGCCTCAAGGATCTGGAAGCTGGAGCTCTCAGTCCCCCCCGATCAGCCTTTCTCTGGGGCCAGGATCTCTGCAGCTGTAGGGCGGTGCAGTTCCAAGTCCCAGAGCCGGTTACCTTACTGGGAGTTACCGGAGTAGGCGGCCCAGGGGCTGTCAGAGGCAGCCCACCCCGCCGCCCGGCTGACAGGCCTGGTGACGTGCATGCTTCAGTGAGGTCTGTTTTCTAGAAGTAAAAACAAAGAGGGGCTGCTGTGAAATGAACAGCCCAGCTCGACATTTTTCCACCAGATGAAGTGGTTTTAGCAGCTTTGAAATTTGTAAAGCACTGGAGTATATATAATCCTTTCATATTAGCGCTACCAAATGATAATATGTAATCACACATTTTAATTAACGGGGTTTGGCCTGCCACCAGTTTCCAAGCAGTCCCTCCCAGGCAAGGAGGGAGAGCCCTGCCTGAAGGTACGGTCCAGCTCCCTCCTGTATGGGCTCCGGCTGGAGAACCTGCAGGCTGAGCCCCACCCCTCATGGCTTTTGGAGGGAGCAGTTGGGTCTTTCCCTTCCCCACAACTGTGTCTGACACAACATTCCATGTAAAGAGGAAATTTGTAATTTTATACACGTATTTTTATACTGCTTTTTTTATGTGTGCACACGAATAGGCAAACATACTCCTCCTCCTACTGTATCAAGCCTTTCCCTGTGTGCTGACGTAATGGCTCTGATCACAGTTACGCTGTTTCTCCTACAAGCGTAGCCGCACTGTAAGGTAACAAGTATTGGTTATACTTCTACCACAGCTGTAGCTCCAAATGGAAGCAATGTCACACAGTCAAACAGATATGTTTCTTTCTAGCTGTACTAATAAAAATTTGCAATCACTTTCCAAGTTACTTCTCTGTTGAAAATGTGTTTTAATCTTTAGAGAGACTCAATGACAATATGGAGGTGTGAAGTTATAACTTTAGCAATAATGCTTAAAAATAGCCTTAAAAAGCTATTTACATACCCTGACCTAGCTCTTTTAATCAGCCCTGACAGCCCTGTGAGCACTACAACATTTGTGGAGGTTCTGGCACTACCATCACTACACAACTTGTAGCTTCTCCTGCATGTATGCTTCCAATACAGAATATTACTACTACTCTGGATCTGAAAGATCTGAAAAACTAACTGCAATCAAATTTCTCCAAACACACTTTGTTCTACGGCTTTCCTGAGGAATACAATTAGTTTGAAATAATCATCTCCTTTTAACTGGTACGCAGCATTTCAACAACACGTACACATGCTGAAATCAAAATAATACACATGCAGAAACTTAAAATAGTTAAAATTTGCCTGTTCATGGCAGTCAACAGTAAGGTATCCAGAACCAGGAGGGCAAGAGTAACATACCCAGAGTAAACCAGGAACAAACAATACAACACCCATACTGAATTCAGCTATGAGACCCTTCTTAGCACAGTCACCTTCCCAACTGGTCCATTAGCCTCGGCGGAGAGCAAGGGCTAGTGGGGGTGGCAGGCGCTCTGCCTTCGCTGGGCCTCAGCCTTGCGCTGCAGCCAGTGGGGCGGGGACAGGCCCCAGGGACAGGCCAAAGCTCACCATGCTGCGAAAACACTCCCGTGGTAAGGGCTGTGGCTGACTGCCACCTGCAAATGCTTAGCACAGGTGTGGCCGCTGTGAATAATTTAAAAAACCCCCATATTTTTTCTGTAAATCAAATACTGCACATCAAAAAAGTGAGTTAAAGCTGCTCTAGGTGTAGTTACAAAGTTTGGGGAAGTCGAAGGTGGTTGTTTTGGTTTGTTTTAAACTGACAACCAGCAGTGTAAATGCTGTGCTTTCCTTCCTGACATCTGGAAGGCACCTGTAAGATGATCTTGAAGAGCTTGTTTTCAAAATGGAAAAGTCAGGTCATGCTGTGTCTAAGTGCAGGAGTGCAGAAGCAAGCAGGGGATCCTGACGTCTTCAGTGCTAAAAAAAAAAATATAAAGGAAGCATTCAACTGTTGAGAAGCAAAGGGAGAGCGATTTGCTTGCACCCTTCATTTGGCACCACTTTAGATATGGTCAATCAACATTTTGAAGCTTTTATTAGAGACTCACTACCCTCATCTCCCCTTCAGTAAAAAATAGCAAGTGATCACAGCAGACAGCCCTTAGATATTTCTGCTGTTTGTCCACAAAAAAAAAAAAAAAAAAAGAAAAAAAGAAAAAATAAAAAAGAAAAAAAAGAAAAGAAAAAAAGAAAAAAGAAAAAAAAGGAAAAGATGGGGTTTTACACAACAGACTGCTTCTCATAGTCCTCTAAAAGAATACAACCAACAGTGGACAATTTAAAGCAACATGCACCATCAGTGAAACAACACACCAAGAATAAAACAAAGTGTGTGTGTGTGTATGTGTGTTATTTCCTACCACTTCAGGTGGTACAAAAGTACTTACAATCTCAGCACAGAGGAACTTTTAAAAGGACTTACAGTTTCAAGACCACCCACAGGGTCTGGCACTTTTGAGACCCAGATGAACTCATCCTTCATCCATCCTGAAAGCCTCACCGCACTAAGCAGTGAGGTGACGAGCCTTGCTAAAAGCCGCCTAACAGCAATTTCAGCGTCCCTGAGGCATCGCGCAGCTGGCCCCAGGTCTAACGGCCGACTGCCGCTCATCTGTCTTCCTGCAGTTATTTTGATGCCATGGGTTACAGTCACAGAGGATTTTGGAAGATCTCCGTCTGAATGCTTACAGCTTTTGTACGCTGCACATCTGAACTCCTGAGACTAAAGGATCGGCTACCTGCCAAATCTGCTGGTAGGTTCTGCTCCGGCAGCAGAGGCGACAAGAGGGCAGGTCACAGGCCGTGCTGTCCCATGAACTGCTTTTCACAGTGACAGGAAGG